CTTATAAAATCTAATTACATTTTTAGTTGCAATTTTTTTTTTAACAATTTCATTTTATATTAAATTAAAATGGACTAATTCTCGTTACATAGTTTTAAAATGCATAAACTGAGTACCTACCTATTTTAAATACTACGAAGGAAAATGTTTTAAATATTTTTAACAAATTTATATTTTAAACATTTAAAGAACACGCTATTAATGTTCATTGTTTTGACTAATTGAGAACTTCCTGTTATCAATTCCTCGTTGGTTATAATTAAGTAATTACATATATCTCTCATATAATGCACTCCTTATTTATACATGATAATGTATGTGAATTTATACTAATTAACAGCAAAATTAAAATTAATATGTAACCTTAAAAAAATTGAATTTAAAAATGATTGACATTTTTTCTTATTAAATATCAAAATAATATTTATTTGGTTCTTATTTGGCATAAAAATAGAGTAAAACAATATACACTACTGACCATAATTTAACAATCACAAAATATTTTGTTTAAAATAAAGCTTTTATAATGTAGGTATCTCATTTTTAATAAATATATTATACTATAAAAAACGTTTCTTGGATTTATTTTGGATATGCATATTTTATATCATAACACTGTATAGGAATAATATTTCAATTTTAATTAAAACTTCGAGAGTTATAAATTTCTTAATTCAAGACTTAAAACATTTTTTTAACCATGTTAAAAAATAGATTGAAATCGATAACGAAGAACAGTATAGGGTAAGTGTAAAATATTATTATCAATATTGGTTTTAATTTAAAACTTAGTTGATAGTAATAAGTACATAGAGTTGCCGTATTGAGAAATTAACTGATTAACTCAAGGTTAATAGTATTATAACATTTAATTGTTCTTAGAGAAATAATTATTAGTTCTCTTTTTGATTAAACAATGTATTCAATTGTGTATAGTTAAATATAAATAATATTATTTTGGCAGTTCATATGATTATATGCCGTATTGTACATTTGGCATGTGCTTGTATTTGAGTAGTAAATAAATATAGGCGCAATTAGTAATTGCATTTGTCGCACTGCATCCCACTGACCAAATGAATTCTCGAAATTACAATAGTTGGTAACTTAAATAATACTATTAATTTGAGCGAGTCCATTTAAATATTTATATCGAAATTCTAAACAAATATGAAATATAAATAATATAATTTTATTTTGTTAAATTTTAAAACACTTCTGACTCATCCCAATTTCCTAATCTCATAAACAATTTTAACTTTACATCCTTAAGTTAATTTATGATACATTGAAATATAGGTTTGACGAATATAGTATAAATTAAAAATGAGTTGTTTTTAAATTTCCAATAATTTTTAAATGAAAAAAATTAAAAACTTTTAAATTTCCAATTATGAAAAATATAAATAATTAATGACGTTTCAGTCAGTTTCCAATTACGAAAATTTTTAAATAATTAGAATATTTAAAACCTCAATAATAATAAAAATAAAAACTTATAACACTTAAATCACCAGTAACGATAAACAAAATAAAATCAATAACGTATAAAGAATTTTATTTTTTTTCTAATTCAAACCCTGTCTAAATGTACATATATCACTATAACATTATGAAATAACGATTAAAACGAGACTTAAATTTTACATGAAAAATATAATGTGTCAAATAAAAACATAAAATATTTTTTTAAATTACCTATTTGTTGAATTGTTATTTATTGAAGCCTGATTATTTAAGACAACGATATAGACTTAACTATTCCATAACGAACATGATTAGTTGACACAAATGCAAATGGTTGATAATTCAACTAAATAAAACATTTTATGATTATTTGATTTCTCCATGCACTGCAAATTCCTTATAAATAGGTAGTAAATGTGCAAACGTAAAAAATACAAATTTGAGAGTATCAGATTAAACATAAATCTACTGAATATTTAAGTAACTTACGAAAACTATGCTTAGAAAAATTATGAATTTAAATTGTATGGTGATTTGTAATTATGTACATATAAAAATAAATAAGTATATTCTCAAAATATCTCAATTTTTCAATTATTATACAACATATAATTATAAAATTTGTGTTTTGTAAAATGTGAATATATTACATGATTTTAACAACAAATTAACATTCAGAAAAATAATAGCATAATACATGGCTCAAATAATTAATATTAAAATGTTAATTGTTAAATGAAACCTTTTGATGTCTTATGAGTAATATTTTTACTAAATTAAATTTTACTTAGTGATGTACCATTTTTAAAATTAAATATTTTTTTAACTATAAAGTAGAGTACTGTAATGTTTTATTTTTGTTCAACATTTGAATGATTCATAAATTGAGATCAACAATAGTAAAACAAAATAGGATTACGTTATTACGTCACGAAGCGTTTCATTAAAAATGTTATTAAAACGTATTATCCATATGAGTTTAAAGACTATTTTTCTTTTAATATGTATTTCATACATAATTTTAAAATTAAATTCTAATTAAGAAAATATTACTAATTATCGGTCTTCGATATAATTACGAGTATTCATGTTCTGATTACAAATAGACACTATTAATCAATTAAATTATACTACAATTATTACTTAAAGGCATGAGCATAACATAAATACATTTAAATTATTAATTAAAAGCATATTAGGTATTTAATTACACAATTTATATCACTAGCACACTGAAAGTCAACTGTTTATTTTTAATATTGTAACCTATGTGTATTTATCGTATATGGTTTTATGGTTTGTTGTTAAACATTATTTTGCAATGATAATTGTCATACAGGTATGTAATTCTATAATTTATTGCGAATTTTATATATTACTATTGGTTGAATTGTACTTGACAAGTTATAATTCTTTTTGAAAATGCTGTCACACCACCAAAAATAATTCAATTATATATTAAAATATTTTTTAATTTAATTTATAATTAGTAATCACTAATGATTGATAATATTACTATACAATTCAAATAGGTACTCAATTCATTTTATAGCTATATTCTTTCATAAATCATACTTTGAGTATTATTACAATTTTAATTAAATTGTACATTTAAAAAATATTATGTTTATAAACAAATATATTTTATAACTATAGTTGATTAAACAAAATTTAAGTTTAGAAGAAAAATTCATAAAACACTAAAAACATAACATAAACGAGCATGAAATATTAAAAGTTGCATAAACATTTAAGTTGCTGCTCAAAAACATTTATTTCTATGAATATAAAGATCCTATAGATGCATAATACTTAAATGTAATGGAAAATTAATTATTTAAAATATGACTGGAGTATAACTCAGAGTATAAAAGCTTAGTGTTATCTCATTATCTGACTTAGCTGAGTTTGGTATTTACAGTTCTAAAATTATATCCTTCTGACTAAATTTAAAATATTATATTCCAGATTTTCTAGAAATAAAAATTATTCTCTCATTTAAGTAAATTATATTAACATGAAACATACAACTTGAAAACCGTTCATTAGTTATATTTTAAGTAAAGGAAATTAAAACTTATCGATAAATTTCGGTTTACCAACAAAAAAATGTAACGTACAATATGTTAGAATCAGGGAAAGTACATACACCTGGAACTTCATATCGTTCAGATTTTGAAATCAGTTTATTTAAGGTGTTCCGTCTATTATCTTAATTATATTTGGTGTTTACAAGCACAATGAATTTTATGAAATGAGCGAATTTAATAAAAATTACTTATCATTAAAATTCAGATTAGTGACATTTATTTTTTTAGTTAATCATATGAGGTCAATTTAGGGGTTTCTTGAGGACATTTATTTAATTTATATTAGCATTTTAGCAATTTATATTATTTATATTAGCATCCCAAATTCGTTATTGTGTTTTCACGTTTCGTTTCGGTGTCACTTTGCCAAAGCATAGCAGTTATTTTTAATAACCTAATTATTAACAAATTAAAAATGTGATAACGTGCCTACGACAAATGACGCTGATCGGAATAAACCGTATTCGATGTTTTTATATTGAAAAATAGACGACAGTTCTACAAAACTATATCCGTATTTTTAATAGCGACGTTAGCCACGGTAATTTCGACCGGGTAGTTCGAAGCTTCACACCGCTCGAGTTAGTCCAGGTCTATAACCTACGTGCCTACGAAAGCGATACAATTCGATGAGAGATCAAGTTGGGTCGGATGATGTGCACGGGAACTTATTGCGGGCACGAATTCGAACAATATCGCGTTAAGGTATACCACTGTAGGTACACGGCAGAACGGCGAAGTGTAAACAATATCGTGTGTCGAACGAACATCGAGGCAGTCGGCGTTAACTTTACGGTTTCTAAACGCACCGAATACGTCACAAGTGCACGCGGCATAACAACGAACGTTACAAACGCGTTGCAATAACATATGATCCGTAATGTTACACCGGTCGAATCGGTTGTCACGGACAATGGACGGGGGAAAAAAATAAAATAAAACGCACACACGAGTATCCAGCACGGAAGTAACCCATCACCTAACGTCAATTACTATTGGATTAAATTCACCTAACCAGTGTTTCTCATTTTTTTTTTCGCTCATTGTTCTTCTAAACCGGTCGATAAGTCGAAATTAATAAACAATAATTACAATGACGGCGGAACATGGTTTGATGTTATTTTTATTTTTTTTATTCCAGTCGTTTCGCACGTCTCGAAACCGAAAACCGTTTCCCGCCGAAACGGTCGACGAGCGATCGGATGATATCTATTGGATTCCGCGAAAACGATGGTCGGCGGTTTTTCCGGAATCCATCGGAGTGCGATTGTTTTTCGCGGGAAAACCACCGTTTCGACCCTTTCGAAAGATAAACGTTTACCGCGGGGGAGGGGGCACCGCATAGTGCAAACGGTAATGCCGTACGTTACGGGTGACGAAGCTCGTGACACGGTAGTGATGGACGAGAAGGTAGAGTATAATAAATCTCGTGCAAATACGTACGTGAAACCCGGGATGGTTTTCCGCGAGGTCAGGACGCAACGCCGGGTCTTGGTAAAATACCGGCGGAAACAACACGAAATTCGGCCGTTAAGTCGGACACGAAAAATATCCCGAACGCACTGACGACGGCGGTCGTCGTGAACAGTTGCTGCCGACCGTTGTCGGCCCGACGTGATCGCGACGCGGGATCGATCGCACAGCACGCGACCGGCGTGGAAATCGAACTACGTGACGGTAACGATATGAACGGTACACGCGAACGACAAATTATTTTTTACGATCGTTCGCGCCGTCGTGCGGATTCGCCTCGGCGGATTCGTCGTCGTCGTGTGCGGACGGGCGCGCGTCGAACACACCACTGCGACGCGCTCGGTTGACGGACGAGCGAGTCTCGCGCGAAATATTCTCGTCGTCGGCGGCGGCGGCGGCGGCGGCGGCGGCTGCGGCAGCGCGAGCGGACCAACGAACGAATGCGCACGGGACGCGGGTTGGCGGCACGTGCTTCGAGGGTAATCCGGAACTACTGCGGCGGCTACCGTGCGCGCGCGATACGGCTCCGGTGTGCTTGGGCAACTTTGGCGCGGCCATCGTACAGTGATCGCGGGCACCGCGACGCAATATTACCGTAGGCGCGCGTCATTTTACCAATTTTTTTTTCTCCCCCGATCCCTCCTCAGTTCCACGTCGGCGGTTTTTTCCTCTCTAATATTTTTTTTCTCCGACTATCTCCCCCCCCCCCCCCATTCGTCACAAGAAAGGTAACCGTGAGCTGCAGATATCGCCGGAACCCTGTTCGCTAATAATATAAGTATATTCTTTTTTCCCATCCGAAAATCCTTCATTCGGTTTTGCACCTCGTAATGGTGCTAAAACGCCACTTGAACCAGTGGCTTGTGTAGGAATTACCTTCACCGTCGGCATAGCTACAACTAACATTTTTCAAGCGGCCAAATACGGCATAAACGGTACTGCTGAGGTAGGGGAATTTTAGTTTTTAAATAAAATGTTCATGATTACAATACATAATAATTCAATCATTATTAGATAGACGGCTCAACATTGTTTAGAGGAGCCTACACGGAAACCGATTCATTATTTGAGTATTCAAAATATTTTTTATGTAAAATTCATTTTTCTATTATTTTTAACAAAAATTATAACCATGTCCTCAATACTCAGAGGTATGTTACGATTAATTGTCATCAACGCAACAATCTAATACCATGGTTCTCAGTCGATGTGTCACGTATTACCGAGGTACGTGTCACCATAATATAATTAATTGAAAATGTGAGCTTTTGATATAGTTACGGCAATAAGATGAAATAATAAAAGACACAGATAAAAAAGTAACTATGAAGATATTCTTATCACATTTATTAGAAATTTTGTCAAACACAACGTTAAATTCAATACGTCTCAAAATAATTTATTTTGGATTTCACTGCAAAACGAATACTCCAAAATGAGCTGAAAATTATTGCAAATTTTATTTCCTTTTTCAACATCATTTAAGTGTGAATACGCATTTTCGACATAGCAAATAACAAAACGTAAAAAATGATCTACACTAATGACATTGAAAGTTAATTACGGCATAAGTTTATCAAACATTCGCCCACAATTCAAAGACTTACGTTCAGTTCGCTGATCACAAGTATCGCATTAGTTTTTTCATGAATTAATATTGTTTTTTATGATATTTTTCTATAATATTTTCTTTGAACTGTTTAAATTTTAATTAAGTAAATTTAAAGTTTATTTATTTATTTTTTTATTTTTAAAAATTCCAATATATGTATTAATTTACAAAGGTTTGTGCATTTTACCATTTCAAAAATCCATATTAAGTGTCGTTCTATAAAAAAAAATTGAGAACCATTCATTTAAAGTTTTCTTGGTGATTCCTCGTAAATATTTTCAGTCGGCCTAGTATTGAAAAACTTGTTTCAACATATGCAATTGTAACTGGGATAACATATAATATTTTCAACATAACGTTTGTTGATGGTTTTACAATATAGTATACATGTATATAAGCTAATTTGCATAAAATTTTTAATTGAATCTGAAATTTCAATACCCTCCTTCCCATAAAAACGCCATGGCGTGCCACTAACTTCAACGTTCCCGAAAGATAGTCTGTGGTATACGATTTCAAACAATGAAGAAGTATGTGAACAACAATGAATTGTTTATAGTTTGATCCACTGATATTCACCAAGCAGTTATACTGGTATGACAGTTTTATGAATAAAAATCGTTTTTACTTTTTTCCGACAACATGGATCGCGACAACGGTTAAGTGCCTGCGTTCCAATAAATTATTCACATGAAGTCTTTAAGCATACAGTATAATATGCGAGGTGAATTGTTGAGTTCGAAGTCTCTTCGTACGATATTGCACGTCCACACGTTTCGTTGGCAACCAAGCATTATTATAATAATATATTTTTTTACGGAATGCCATTGAAACAGACCGATTTCTAAAACTGATTTTAATTGTTGGGAGCAACTCGACGAATATACAACTTGTAAATGAATACACTGAACAAATAACTAAAATCGTTGTAAAAATTCGTGATTATTACGTGTATGAGGATTCAGATAATTATTGCTATGATAAATCGTATAAATGTACGTTATATAAGTGCCCTGCCCAACACCGTTTAAAAGCCAATGTCATAGTTTTAAGATAAAATAATGTTTTTTTTTTTCAAACCGAACCTTACATTTCCATTGAATTATATTCAGACGTGTTCAGTAATTTTGTTAAATAATACATTTATAATTATTAGCGTGTATGATAGTTATGAGAATTTATTTCACATAACGATTATGATTAACTCCCTGCGTGTTGATATGAATCAATCCACCTGCTTGTAATGTTACAGTTGTAAGTTAATTATTTTCATGAATAATTGATTTTTATGAGTCGCACGATTAACTCGGGTAACAGACTATGTAAGTTGTAAATTTTTAACCACAGGACATCAACTAACCAAAACAAATAACATTGTTTTATGTATCTACTTGACTTATATCAGCAAAATTTAATAATAATGTAGTAATAAGTGTAATAACATGAATATTATAATGTTAAAAAGATAAATTAGTGGCGATAATATCATGTACTCGTATAACGACTAAATTCATTAACAAACGTTTTTAATGAAACTTCGTGTTGCTATCAACGACCACAAATGTGACGAACCAGGCTCTCGGTGAATATCATACTGCGAACGGTCTTGAACATATATTATGGTGACAAAAGGTGTACGTTACGTGTAATGTATTAGGTATAGATTATTTTTATTATTAATAGAGTTTAGTCATCGGCAAAGTAATAGTTTTTAATGTCTATTTTTAATGTAACTCGTAGGTAAAATAGGTACACGTAATAAATAAGTATTGTTTTACGAGCTTGTCATGTTTGGAATTTTTATGGTGTTTTCAGTGTTAATGACTTCAAATTGGATAATTTCAGTACAACATTCGATATCCTTACGTTTTAGTTCTATGAAACAATGATAAAAATGTTTTATTTAATTTTTTTTTTTTTTATAACTTTCTGTGCAAAATTATACATTCATTACAAATATTCACCCATAAGCATGTTCTTATATTTAGAAATACCGACGCATATAAAATGAAAAATAATTATTAAAATATAATTATTATGTAATTATAAAATTTTATAACAATATACACATATAATATTTAATAATTTAATATTATATATATTTATTATTATATATCAATTCCAAGTAAACGTGTTTTAAAATTAATTGTGTATAGGTTTCTTCTAAATAATCACATCATAAAATAGTGCATTTCATCTATTTCGGGGATAATATTTTCAGTACATACTATTTATCTATGGAAAATACTATAGTTTGTTCGATATTTTTTCTACTAGTAACCTATTTCACATTTTTATTACTTAAATGATTTTCCCTAATAATATAAAAACATTTTATTAAAGAAAATTCGTTTTTTTGCCAACAATGAAATGACCAAAAATAAAATATAAAAGCACCTGCTGATATGACTATATACTTTATTAGTATTTCGAACCAGAAACGGCTACTAAAGGCGCCATCAATTACATGGGTGACAAAACAATTGGATGAACATTTGAAAAACACACCAAAAACGCTTTAAGCATCTGTAGACAAATGGCATTTGGCCCTAAATCTTTATGGGCCCCCTACATGGCTCATTTCCATTATCTTTTGAACTGTTGATAATTTTTCACAGAAATAAACTGAAACCCCGTTGACAAACAACCATAGGAAGAGCAAATAAAACATTTATTTTACGGCACTTACTGGAATTTATTATAGAAAAATATAAAAATTAAAATAATATGTAACATAAAAACATTCACTTGGATATTTACTTACATTGAACAATTTATACAATCATTAAATAAAATTAAATATCATAATGATGGCTGTTAATAGTTTGTAACAAAGAATAATAATCAAAATAAAATAATTTTACAGTTACAATGAGCCACTTTCAGAAAATCAGTAACGTTTATCTAACAAATTGTGTTAAATTATCACAGAAATAATTTAATTTATTTTAATAAATTATATAAATATAACTACAAAAATTACTACTGATAGAATGCAGTCAATAAATTTGAAATCACATATTCTTAATTTCAACAAAATGAACTGTTTGATTGAAGAATGTAAAGAACAATGACCAATAGCCATTAATATTAATATTGTGCTCTTATATATTTTTTGTTATAAATATAAATTTGTTTGAAAAGTACTGAGAAATTCCGAAATCACACAAATTTAAATTCATTTTTATTTCTAATTTTTGGAAATGGAAAATAAAACGTTTGATCTTTTTTTTTTTTACTGCTTTTAAATGTGTAAGTTACTTTAAAAAAACCGTACGATATTATAAAACCGATAAGGTCATTGCTTGGCTTGAGAGCTCAATCATAAAAAAAATTAAAATTATCTTTATAAAAATGGTTTATAGTCTTAGTAGTCGATTTTTTCATCATCAGTAATCAGTAAACATAGAGCATTAGAATCGTTGAATTATTCAAAATAAATATATAGTTAATAAAAACTGATTTGAGAAAAAGAAGTTTCAATAATCTAAAAAATTGCTTTAATATCTGTTTCAATTGCTTTTCAATCAAGTATTTTTATTTAATTTTTTTATTTTAATTTAATGAAAACACAACACATAAGCTAAAATTTATTCAACCTAAATTTAATGTATATAATAGTTAATTTATACATACATAACTTATAATTGTATGCACGTATAATATTCTCAAACTTCCAAGATACATTGTATAAAATATAGGGTCTAAAATATAATTTTTGTAAGTAACATTAATACTCACGTGGTTGAAATGTATCAATTAATACTATATATTGCACATTATTACTAACGATATTAAAAATTAAATATGTTGAATAACCTATATCTAATACGCTGTAATATATTTACTACCT